TGCGTCCGACCAAAAAAGAACTGATCGCCCTCATTATTCTGGTTAACTTTTAAGCGTCATTAGAATAGAAGTTCGACGAAAAATCACCAAACTCGTAAACTGGCACCTATACGGACAACAGAGCTTGACCTTGTTTACGTCGAACAGCCAGTGCAAGTTACGACGTTCTTAAGCGGCACGAGGAGAGTTAAAACTTATCAAAAAAATTTTTGGCTCGAATCCATGTCCGTATGTATGTAGAAGGGTTCGGCAATCAAATCGGATAAGATGGCAAATAGAATTGTAGGCGCAGGAATGATGGCGAAGATGAAAGGGAGGTCAAGGTGCCCGCACCTATGAATCCTTTTTGACGGCCACGTTCCAGGCAAATTGGATGGTAGAAATTGGCTTACGATGATGATTTGGCTTATTTTCAGGAGTTTATCAAAGTGGTTCAGGCACACTGGAAGAATCTGCAGACTTTGAAAATCCGCACTGATGCAATGTGGTCCGAACGTACAGTAGGTGGCTAACTCGTGAAATGTCAACCGAAATTCAGAAACGCGTTTTCGTTTCGGAGAGGTTACCTAAGTAGGGTTGTGAAACTAGTCAGCCTGCAACATAATTATATACTATTTCAGTTACCCCGGACGCCGGCTTTCGAATGAATTTCCTTCCGGCCGCGTGCAAGAACTATACTCTGTAAAAAGTGACTACTTACAGTAGATGTGCTAACTCATGAAATGTCAACCGAAATTTCGAAATGCGTTCTCGTTTCGAAAAGATAAATTAAGTAGTGTTATAAAACTAATCATGATGCAGCATAAATCTATAATAGTCCAGTTATCTCAGGGTGTCGGCTTTCGAAAAAACTTATTTTCGGCTGCATGTAAGATCTATACTCTGCAAAAATGACTACTTAAGTAGCATGCCATTTTCTCATTGATTTTTGATACCCTTGAAAATTCAATTATATTTCATGGAAAACATGCATAAACATATTCATTTTTTACTTATTCGATAGAAAATCACGTCTTCTTCCAATTTCATACTCAAAAGAAGAGTATAATTCGGTTTTAAAAAACTTTTCTGATTCCCGAATAATTTTGAACTCGACCGGCTATTTCACTTACATTCAGGGTTTCAAAACTACAAGCTGTATATTTTCCGTGTACGGAAAACCATACATTTCTCTACGGTGTTAAGAGGAGACCAAATGAGGTTCATAAAATTAAGCAGTGGATTTGAGCACTATTGTTAAATTTACAAGCCACATTGGTAAATGCAGAGCCATGACGTTTTATGAATTGACATTCCACGGTATTAAAACAGCTCTCTATTATAAACATTTTTTAAACCGAGTTATACCCTTCCTTCGAGTATAAAGTTGGAAGACGACGTCATTTTTCTACCGAATGAACAAAAGAATAGATATTTGCATGCAATTTTTCCATGAATTATAGTTGAATTGTTAATAGCATCGTAAATCAGTGCGAAAACGCATGCTACTTAAGTAGTCATTTTTACAGAGTATAGTTTTTGCATGCAGCCGGAAGGAAGTTCGCTCGATAGCCGGAATCCTGAGGTAACTAAATTATTTTAGAATTACTCTGTACGATGATTAGTTTTACAACCCTACTTAATTAATAATTTCGAAAAGAAAACGTATTTCGGAATTTCTGTTGACGTTTCATGAGTTAGCACACCTACTGCATGTGACCGCAGACTGAGTGGTCTACCGCTCACGATGAGTAAGATGCCCGACGGCGAGACTTTTTGCTGGGCAGTGGAGGGGCGATAGACAGTTTCCCCTTGTAGATAAAGCCAGACGAGAAAGGAAAATGCTCTCAGCCTGCCATGCATTAAAAGTAAACCTGCCTTGCATGCGAACCGGGATCACTTTTTGCGAGCGGGCTGCCAAGACGTCGCTTACTCTGGCGTCCCCGCGGCGGACTGTCAACTCGTGAAGATCTCTCTCTCTTCTCACACCACACCTCAATGCCAATGACTCACGAAGATTGGGTTCTGCCGAACTGGATCTCTCAGACGTCTTATCACTGCTGGCTTGTATAGAGTCGTGCCGGTTGGTTCACAGATGCTGAGAAACGCCTGTTGCACTACCTTTAGAGTAGTCGGTTGACATGCTCATTCATACCGCACCACAAGCGAAGGTTAGATAAGGCCCAAATATCAAAAATCGGTTACATTTTGACACAACTGTGAAAATCGAACCCACGACAGCAAGGGGTGGCTTTAGTACAGTCAACGCTCTAACCACCCGTGCTAGGATGCCTCGCCGGGAGACGTGAATTTAATCACATTTGGGTTTCTGAAGAGCCAAATTCCTCAGTATGGACTGAGTGTGGCAACAACCAATTTATAAAGCTGCAGATATGATGGGCGGTTAAGTTAATTGAGTCGAGCTAGGCCGGGGAGAAGCCGGCAAAGTTTTAATTTGCCTTCCGTGTGTCCTGGCAACCAGTTGATTAAAAACTGCTGCCGACAATCCTCCCGTGCGTGACATATAATGGCGCTGAGGCAAGTTCTGCCTCATTGCAAAAGCCATGTCGCAGAGATTTTATCATTTGTCTCCTCAGCGTGGCTATCCTATTGCTGCCCGCAATAAAGAAAAAAGACATTTCAAGTATGCATTGGGAGCTGTGGTCAGATACCTCGGATCAGTGCTAACTTCTGTTGACATCTGCAAAATGACAGCAGGTATCAGGACATATTATACCAATGAAAAGTGCCATTTTAGGCGTCGGCGACACGCCAAGGTGCGGGCTTACGTCGCGCCAACCGCCTGCGCCCTCTCCTACCTCCGGCTTTCTTGACTTTGTCATTACACCGCCCTCAGGTGGGAGAAGGGCAGAGGGAGTGCGGTAGACGCAGAGCAAGTCTACT